GGTTTGGCCTTAGCTCAGTTGTTTAAGTGGCTGCTTCCACAAAGCTGTCAGCCTCAGGTTGCTGTAGTTCGATCCCCACAACACTCCAGCCAGCCAAATGCCCTGAAGGCATTCGGGGAAAAAAAAAAAAAAAAAAACAAAAAAAAAACCTTAAGGGGCCGGGGTGATGGCTCAGTGGAATAAGTGCTTCCCTGGCAAGCGCAAGGGCCTGAGTTTAATCCCTGGTTCCACAAAAAAAAAAAAAAAAAAAATTAAGGTGTGATAAATACCAAAATAGAAGCAGTTACAAAAGATTAAAATAATTTTTTTACAAGAACTCTCAAATTGATATATTCTTTACAGTCTACATATTATAGTATAAAATTTGTTTCTCCAACTCAGATCTGGATAATCTGTAAGCTGTGATGATGATGATGCTAGTTTTAGTGATACATGTATGAGAAGCTGTGTATGTGATGCTGTATTCTAAAAGTGATTTGATAGACCATTTCTAATCTACATACCTTTATTAACATTTGAAATGTTATTTGTATAGTGCTTAAAATTACTATGTTTTCCCCCAAGGATAGACTAATTGCACATGGTTATGAAATTCATACATGATCTATTTTTTGCAAGTCTTTTTTTTTTTTTTTTTTTAGTGCTGAGATTGAACCCAGGACCTCATCACAATGAGCTAGGCAAGTGCTTCACTGAGCTGCACTCTTGGTCTGCAACCCTATAGTCTTAATATGCAAAGTCCTTGCTATTATAGGAAGCCTATGGTTTTTATTACTTAGTATATATGAATGTTATAGTTTACTTTTTCTAATGGGAAATCTTTTTTTTTTCATTTTTTACAGGGGATCTTTCCTGCAAATTACATTCACTTGAAAAAGGCAATTGTCAGTAATAGGGGGTGAGTAGTTTGCCTTGTTAATTTTGTTAACGATTATTATAGGTCATTAACATTATTATACATCTTTTTTATTTTTGGTACTCAGTACAAATTATAATATTGACAGATTTTCCTGGCAAAATATTCATTCATTATCATATATAATTTTGAGAAGATAATTTTTCTTAAAATGCTTACAACTCTGATCTGTTTTTCTATATCATGGAGAAATAACCTTAGTTCTGAATTTTAGAAAACCATTGTGGGGGCTGGCACAATAGCTCACCAGACTAAGTGCCGGCTCAGGCAAGTGCAGGGACTGGGGTTCAATTCCCTCTACTACATACCTTGCCGACCCTTCCCCAGGGCATGCTGAACCTGCCACTGAGACCAGGCATGGTGGCACATGCCTGTAATCCCAGCACTGGGGAGGCTTAAAACAAGAGGATCACTATAAATCCCTGCATAGTGAGACCTTGTACCAAATATAAAACAAGCAAACAAAAACAATTGTGTATACAGTGTGTTCATAAAAAACATTATGGAACTGTTTTAAGAATAGACATGGAATAGGAATTAGACATAAATCATCATTTTGCTTCTGTATTAAAAATAAACCTCTGATGTCTTCTTTTTGCAAGGAGAAATTGAAAGAAACTTAAAAGTCACACCTCAAGGTTAAGATGTTATAAAAATGGATATATAGTTTGATCACAGATTTGTAAAACAAAAGCAGTCTGAATAAAAGAGACAAGAATTAAGTTTATAAAAATGTTAACTCTTGTTTTTCATTTTGCAAGCATGATTTTTGAAATATTTTTTTCTTCGCATGTCCTGTTTTTAAAGTTATCTGATTTCTAAAATCATTTTATGTGTACAATTTAAGTAATTACAGTTTTCTACTAAGATAATCTTCTGTAGTTGAAATGTTTTTGACTAGTAAGTGAGCATCAAAATAACCTTTCAGTTACCTTGGGTTAATCAAGAAAGCAGGAACTACACAAACCAACTTATAAGGTGGAATCTAATGTAGGAAATTATTTGCATACATGTTGGAAGGATAAAAGAACAAAAGAGGTAATACTCACCTAACCCAAAAAATGCACACAACAACTTATGTCCTAAAGGTTGACAGCACAAAGCATGGTGTATTGGGAATACCAGAAACCAGGAACTTAAGGGGATGAGTCTTGATATGCTTGAGCTTATTTGAGAAAAGGACATCACATGTATGAAGAAAGTGAAGCTGAGTTCTGGGAATGCCAAAGATAACTGGAGGTCATTGGGAATTAGTTGCCTGAAGAGCAACAAGCACACCTCCTTCTTTTTTTTTTTTCAGTGTCTTTCTAATGCCCCTGGATGGCAAAGGAGAGTGTGAAATAGTTTGTGATCTCAGCTCAGGTTGGAAAGAATAGTTATTATAATGTAAATGATTTCTGTGCCTTTTTATTACTCACTAATAACTTTGTACTATTAATTCATATTCCTTTGAAAAGGTTTTTTAGGGCATCTAAAGAAACTTTCTAGTCTCTGTGCTTATGAGGACAAAGAGGTAGTAACAGAATTATGAAAAACTAACTTGGAAAGGTATTCGTGAGTCAAATGATTCCCCAGACAAATTATCATTTTTAATCACTGATGAGTTGAGCTTTTAAAAAACTTTTACAAAGAAAGAATTAGCTCTTTTGAATTAAGAGTAATTTGTGAGGTTAAGAGCTAAAATTTTTAAGACAATAAGTCTTACAGAGTTTGCATATATGTAATTAGGCTGTATTGTGCATTGTTTTCACTTCAGTATAGCAAAAATGGTATTATGAAATAGTTCTTTAGGAAAAATACTGTAGGATCTGTTAGATGTGACAATCACTAGTTAAATCACATCTTTGTATGATAAACGTAAGTGTTTCATAACATCTTAGTGACATGTTTGTCATCCACATATGCTGTAGGGCATATGTCTCCTTGACCTACGTGCTTGAAGTGCCTTTCTTGGTTATAGGAAATAACATGATTATTTATTGTTAACTTATACTGTTATCACAGTATCTTTGGTTGTAAATGAAACAACTTGGCTTCTAAATTTGGGTTGTCATTGTTTCTGTTTAAATAAATAGTTTTAGTTGGCAAAAGCACATTTGAGTGGTTTTAATTTTGAATTGTAGAACAAATGATAGTCTGACCTTCAGAATATTTTGAAATTTATAAGACAGGGAGATGTTATTGCATTTTTCCTGATATAAAAGACATTAATTTGTTTAAGATTTTTAAAAACAAAACTTTAACAAGCTTATTTTTTCTTTTGTATTTTGTAGAATTGAGAAAATACTTCAATAAAGTTGTTTTACTTTTAATTTTCTATGTGAATTTTTTCCATTTTTAATCTCTATTAATTTTATAAAACATTTGCTTTCAATGCCTATATTTTGACAATATCCATTCCCCTGATTAGCACCCTTTACTGGTTTCTTCATTTTGTCTAATAATAGTCTCCCTTTTACATTCATTTCATCTTTAAAAATTTCACATATTAGGGAAAACATTCATACTTGCTTTTTTCAAACAGGCTTATTCTTCTTGACATGATGGGTTCCAGTTTCATCCACTTTCCACTTGCTTCACATGATAGTTTCCAATTATATCCACTTTTCTGCAAATCACAAAATTTTATATCCATATATCCATATACATGTATTCATACTTTCTTTATCCATTCATCTGTTGATGAGAACCTAGGCTGGGTTTATGTCTTGGCTATTGTGAATTGTGCCTCAACAAATACAGATCTGCAAGCTATTTTTATAGTATGCTGAATCTTATTTCCTCCAGATATATACCAAGGAGTGGTATAGCTGGAATAAACAGTAGCTCTATCATTCATTCATTCTTTTATTTATTGAGGAAACCTCAGAGTGGTTTCCATAGTGGCTCTAATTTCCATGATCACCAGCAGTATGGGAAGATTTCCTTTGCCTTGAATCCTCAACAGTGTTTACTTCTTGTTAGTATGTTCTGCCATTCTTACAGGAGTGAAAAGGATTCTCACTGTACTTTGGATTTTCAATCTCTACTGGATAAAGATGTTGAACACTTTTTTTTAATAATCTCTTTAGTCGTTTGTAATTCTTTCTTTTTTTGAAAAGTGTCTATTCTGTGATTTATCAATTATTAATTGGGCTGTGTGACTTCCGGTGATTTTAAAGTTCTTTTTATTAAATAATTTTATTGAGAAAGAAGTAGCAATGAGACAGTTCAAAACAGGTTAGTAAGGCAGTTACAATAATTAACACATTGCATATTGTTATCTTTGTAGTAGTTATTCAAAATACAAGATGCAGACATGATGTCTTGTCTAAACACTATTCAAAACTTTCTTCTTATTGGACAAAGAGAAAGTAGCTGTATATCTATACTATTTTGTATATATATATATTTTTGTGTGTGTGTGTGTGTGTGTGTGTGTGTGTGTGACAAAATGGTCCTTCAAAAAAATTTTAAAAAATTGTCCTTCATTTATATCCCGCTTTTTTATTTACTTTTGTCAGAGATGTGTATTCCATTGCCATTCACATATTGTAGGAGCATGAATTCAGAAAATTAATCCAATGTAGTCCAGTAGTCTATAATAGTAGTGAGTTATCTGCATAAATGGCAATATCAGAAGTTGTTGACTTGAGCCTTTTACAGCTCAGCATATTAATATGGCTTTACTTTTTATACCTCATTTTGATACTTTTCTGCTGGATGGTTAAGGGCAAGATAAAGCAGGACATATATAACAAAAAAGTAACTTTTAAATCTAACAAGGTTAATCAAATGCCCTCAGGACCTACCCTGAAACCATGTACAGCACCTTATAGATCTTTTGTCAGTGTCAGCCATCTGGATAAGTCTTGGCCATTGCTTGACCCATTTACTTTCTGTGAAAGCCTGAGAGAATGTTTTCTCTCTAGGTGACTCTCCTTTGGCACACTCTCCATTGTTGATCACTTTCCTCTGTGGCCCTGTAACTCCTTGAATAGAAAATTTGGGACACCACTGAGTTACAGGATGTTACAGTACAGCGTCTCTTATGTCCTGAGTCCTCACTAACCTTGAAGGGCTAGGGCCAAAATATCCTTGTAGCCCTTCTTTTTCTCTAATTTTTTGGTCTGCAAACTTAAGTTGTTAACCCTCCAGAAGAGAAGTTTAATGATATTATTATCCTATAACATAGGCATTTGAGCTTAACATCACTATCTGTCTGAATATCAAAGGCCTTAGATATACCAGCGAACAGGTATTTTCCAAAAATCATTGATATATGAAATTTTAAATCCCTATAGAATATGAAAAAAATTAAATTTTTGAAAAAAGTAAAATAAAAATGAAAAATTACGTGTCTTAGAACAGAAATTTAGAAATCTAATCATGTACAACATTGTAGCAGGACAGTCGTATGACTTTTTCTCTCTTGTTTTCATTTATTAACCTTTTTTTAAACAAACATTTATTTGAGAGAGAGTATAACAATAACTGATACGACATTAGAAGCAGTATGCATTTAGAAGACCAGAATGACAGGTGTTCCAAGCATAGTTCTAGTAGTACACATTGATATCCTTGGTGTAGTTGCTCAGTTCACAGATATCAGCATAGTTAGTCAGGGTGAGAATTCTACCAATTAACTGCTAGTTTCAAAAGCCTGATGGAGATTCTCAGGACCATTGCTTTTTCCATCTTGTGTATATAAATGGATGGTTTTGCCCTTACTATGTTTCTAGCTTTTCTCCTTGCCCTCTCTTCGCTATTTATTCCTTAAGTTCTTGCTTAACATTTAACTGTGTTATACCTTTAAATTTTTATTTCTTTAAAAAAAGGAATAAACAATTACATATTTTTACACAGAAGTTTAGAAATCTAACCATATACGGCATTGTAGTAGGACAGTCCCGCAACACCCCTTTTCCTGTCTCTTGCCTTCATTCACCACCCCCTTCCTTTTTAAACAAACATGACCTGAGAGACAGCACAGCAGCAACCAG